TGTAAATATGAATCAGATCATAATTAATAATATAATCATATTTATAGATTATAATTAATAATATAATCAATATAATCATAAATAATAATGAATAACAAAAATAAAATTTTATAATTTTATTTTAATGTTATATTGCACACTTATATAGAATACAAAATGAACATACTAGAATGGCATGCTTGTGTTGATTGTGTCTCTTTTTTTAAATTAAAAAAAACTATAGTTTTTTTTAATAATGTTTCACATTATTAAAAATGATTGTTTTAATGATTGCAGAAAACAAAAATGAATTACCACAATGAATTTCAAGCCATTGTGCTTGCTGGAGGAAAAGGCTCCCGTATGACAGAGCTCACAGCAGGCCAACCAAAATGTCTGCTGCCGATCGCAAACGTTCCTATGATCTGGTATCCTTTGCAAATTCTTGAGCGTTCAGGCTTCAAAGAAGCGATTGTCATTATTGCTGAAGCAACCAAATCCGATGTATCAGTGTCGTTGGATAAATTGGGTCTGAAAATCAAAATAGAATTTGTAGGAATTCCAGGAGCCGAGGACCTTGGCACAGCTGATTCTATCAGACTCATTCATGAAAAAATATATACGGATATCTTGGTGATATCCTGCGATTTGATCACAAATGTGGATTTATTGGAGATTCTGAATTTATACAGAAAACACAATGCAAGTGTAACTGCTCTGATGTTGCCTATACCGAAAATGCCAGATGACTTTGTAACACCAGGTCTAAAAAACAAACAGAAACCAGAAACAGACTTGATCGGCATCGACAATAATACAGGTCGATTGGTATTCTTGGCTTCTGCATCTGATTTCGAGGAAACAATTAACATTTCGCAGAGGCTGCTCAGAAAGCATGCTAGCTTCACTATTCACTCCAAACTGATGGATGCACATTTGTATATTATTAACAAATGGGTGATAGACTTTTTAATATATAACAAGTGAGTGATTTTATTAGGGAGAAATATTGAAAAGATTAAACATAAATCTAATCAAATGTACAAATTTTTTTCAGAAATTTCACAACGCTGAAAGGTGAACTTCTGCCATATATAGTCGGTAAACAATTGTCTAGACCTAAACAGCCTGTAGATGATAAGACATCTATGGTACAAATGGATTTGAAAGATGATATTTTTCATTTTGCATTGGAAAAACCGTTTGATGAATTGATAAGAAAGATGTCAGCCTTTAATGATCATAGTACCGATTTGGAGGATGCATATAATGGGGATATAATACGATGTTACGCCCATGTATCAAATGAAAAGTTTGGTCTTAGAGCAAATACCATACAAATGTATCATCTTGCGAATGCTAAGGTTGAGTAGTGTTATTTATTTTATAAATCTTTATAACAAAACAATAATATATATTATTCCAAATATATAAGAGATGAGAATTTGAAATTTGTCAACTAAAAGTCTACTTTCATAGATTATGAATCACAAATAATATATTTACGCTTTAATATATTATGTTTATGTTTTTAATATATTATAAATTGAGGGATCAATTTCAATTAATTTAAGAAATATTCTGTACATAGATATCAGAATGGTGGAATGATGATAAAAATACTAATCAGTTGTCGTTGTTACCATGTATTTCGAACACGGCGACCGTGCGCAGTACACAGATGCAAGAATGTCGCATAGGCGATAATTCATTGATCGAGGAGAAAACATCTTTGAAAAATAATCATATTGGGCCTAACAGCATCGTAGAATCGAAGACAAGAATATCTCAGAGTGTGATAATGGGACATGTAACTATTAAGCAAAGGTAAGTCGAAGTATTATTGAAATTATTCGGCTAATATATTTTACGAGTCGCTATTTTTTTTCTTTTATAGATGTGTTATCCATAACTGCATACTGTGTAATGGTTGCACCATTGAGGAAGGTACCGAATTAAAGAATTGCGTAGTTGGAGCACAACATATTGTGAAATCTGGTAGCCAACACTCTCACGAAGTACTCACTGATGCAGATAGACTCATAGAAATTTAATTTAATTTTTATTTTGTATTTTGTATACATTATTGTAAATAATAATTAGATTATATTATTTGTAAAAAATGTTAAATGTATAAACAAGAAAATTGTCTTTTGTAATTCACCATTTAAATTATAAAGAAGTGTTAATATATCTAAATTATGCAACAATTTTATATTTAGATTGATAAAGTAAAATAATCATATATAATTTAGATTAATATTTTTTTTGCAAGAGAATTAAATCGTTTTCTATTTTAGAAAATAAAATTTTTATCTTATCGATTACTTAATGTAGTTTGTTAAATAAATGAAGTTAATTAAATATTAATTTTTTTATTAAATGAATTATCATCTGAGTAAAAGTTTCGTGATAGTTCCAATCGGCATCTACAGAGATCGTTCGAAAACGTCTCGTGCTCTATTAGTGGAATTTTGTTTGAACGAAGAAACGTTCGGATTCGGAACGGTACATTGCCTTTTCTTTTGGGGTACTTTTTCATCTAAAATGGTGAGCATGGATTTATGTCATTTAAATCGATTTATTTTGCAGCGATCCTAATAGCCGGTCAATTGATCGGTGCGGAAAAAATGTTCTGAATTTTTATACAACTGATATAATTGAATAATATCGGGCAAAAGAAAAATGTTCCACATGATAGTGACGTGATACCAGTTTACAGGTTATGTTATAATAATGTTTATGTGGTAACACGTTAACGTCACTTATTCCCTGAAATATATTTATCTTTTGTTTATTTATCTATAAAGATGATTTAAAATAACTTTTCTTTATATCGTATTATTGATCCATCTTTTTTTTTCTATAATTTGTAACAAGGAGTCATATGTTACAGTCCTGTTTTTTCTTCATGTTCACAGACGAAGGGTACATCCAGCTTTGGTAAGCGGCGTAATAAGACGCACACGTTGTGCAGGAGATGTGGACGTAGCTCCTATCACATCCAGAAGTCACAATGTGCACAATGTGGCTATCCTGCTAAGAAAATGCGTTCATGTAAGTTGTCGCTGTACAATATAACATGTTTACATAGAGGATTGTCCATTATTTATTCAAATATCAAATATTTAATGTTAATATAGAAATATTAATATATTAATTAATATTTGACGACTATAGATAACTGGTCGATCAAGGCAAAGAGGAGGAAGACCACTGGTACTGGCCGCATGCGTCATCTTAAGATCGTACGCCGTAAATTCAAGTAAGCTACAATGTTAGAAATATAATAACTAACGAAAATTAAAACAAACTAAAAATCTATATATTTTTTAATATTTATTTTTTTTTACTTTTAATCTTTTTATTAAATAAGAAGTATAAACATTATCTAATTTTTTTTATAATTTATATGTACATAATTTATGTATACAATACATATAAATGATTTTATTTATGTTTACAGGAATGGATTCAGGGAAGGCTTACCAAAACCCAAAGCTGTTGCAGCTAAGTAATACATTGACTCCCCTTTGTCTTATTGTCTAATTAAGTTGTAATCTTGACTATCAATAAAAAATCCAGTCACAAAATTAACACTTCAATTCATTATAGGAGAATTCCTTATAATTCTAATAACATCGTTGTGTTTATTGAATTATTTACTTCTATAAAGTACTTATAACTATATAAATATTTATGAGTTTCATACACTTTTTTATTGCATTATCCAGACTTCTAGTTCCTGTATAGAGTTTCATGAATGGAATTTTACACAGAATAAATTTAACCGTTTTGTCTTATTAAATAGACTTGACTTCCTATATATGCTAAGAACTTGTGTTGATTCTAAAAGGCTTTTTTATTATATTAAATAAGTAAGATAACTTAAAATTAAGTACTCCAATTTTTTTCTCTATTAAAAACAAATAGTATTTGTAAACATGAACTTCTGATAAATCTGTGTATGTGTTCTTATGTGTTATATCATATCTGACAAAAAAATTTGAAGACATGCGTGATCAGAAAGATAAGATGTGTTGTCTACGTGTCGTTTGTACAATCTTCGTGGAATTTTTAATTATCGCGGCATCCCATATATTTAGTAAGCCTCCGATCTCGTCGAACAGTACGTTTGATGCACTCGGATGATTGGTGTAGCTTCATTGTGCATCTAGGCATTTGCCGATACTGCGCTCGAAGACCGTTGATCTTCAGCTTGCCAATTTGAAAGTTATGCCACGAAATAATATTCAACGAACGTTTCGTCTCCATAAGCACCGCAGAATTAAGAAGATTCGTTCGATTAAATAATAAATAAATTTTAAAAAATTGAGCGCACTTACAATTCAAATTGTTGATCGAAGGAAAGATAAGGTATGTCATTAATGTGATAAAGAAAGCAGATCAATTAATCGTCTTTACAAATACCGAAGAATTAAGAAGATAATTAAATAATAGTAAATTTGAAGAAAGGAAACATACTTATAATTCAAATAGCTAATCAAAGGAAGGATCATTAACATTTCTACTACATAGGTACATAAAATCTGTTCCAATACCAAACGAATTTTCACAAGATTTGTATAGTACAATTCTGTACAATGAGCGTTCTGCGTCAGCTACTATTTGGTAAGTGTATTTATTTTTAAAAATAACCATTCGATTGTCTGAAATTTATATTTTTGGCTGTGCAGGTAAATATCTATTAGTTACCAACACTGTGAGCTGTGGCTTGATGATGGCAGCGGGAGATGTGATCCAGCAGCGCAGTGAACATTGGAAGAAGCATTGTTCTCATAAATATTTTCCGAGCAGCGTTATAGCAGCATCACCAGAAGACGAAAAGGTGACGACGATTTCCAGCACGTACGGACATGATTATATGAGAACCAGGAATATGATGATTGTAGGACTGCTTCAAGGTCCGTTTCATCATTGGTTCTATATGCTTCTAGACAAAATTTTGCCAGGCAGGAACGCAAAGTCAGTTCTCAAAAAAACCTTTCTGGACCAATCGATCGCGAGTCCCATGTGTCTAACGATATTTTTCGTCGGCCTCGGAATTCTGGAGAGTCGCAAAATCGAGGAGATCAGCAAAGAGCTAAAGCTAAAGTTCGGCGAAACGTGGAAAGTACGGGATTACATTAGTTAATCAATATTTCAATAACTGTAAAGAGCGAGTTTGTATAATAATTAAGATTAAAAAATGCTGCTATCGAAAGTTTTCTTGTTAAAATGTAATGTACATAATAACTTATTGAAATTGTCAGGTCGACTGTTGCTTTTGGCCTCCTACGCAATGCATTAATTTCTTCTTTGTGCCTCTGCATTATCGGGTACTCTATACAAATGCTATGACGATGGTCTATGACATTTTTCTATCATATATGAAATATGTAAGTTTTACCTGTATATTTATCAAGTTACAATCAAACAAATATAAATTGTTATTATTTAAATTATGAGCTATCGCAATGAAATAATAATTATTTATTTTATCCGCAGGACGCTCACTTCGAAAAACAATAAAAATGTCATGGCTAATTCTTCGTAAATTAGTTAAGCTAGTCTGAGATAGTCTGAACGAAAGATATGTGCAAATAATAATTAGGAGAAGCATGCATTATATATGTCTATCTTTAATAAACTGTATCGCAATGTTCAATAAAATACCGTCGAAAAATTTCTGAGTAAGCTTACTGTATCTTCCCATTTCGATGTCTTATTGATTCGATTTTTTTTGTTCGTTTCCATGATTTTTACCAGAATGACAAATAAATACGAGTAATCGTCCACTGCAGTTCCTGGTGCATATGCAAAAAACTATCAATGACAATTAAAATTCGATTAATGTAAGAATGCTGAGATGTTATTTTTTATAATTATAATATTTCGCGATGATTTTCTTCAAAGAAATAATTTAATATTTTATTATTAACTGCAACTTCTACTTGGCTAATCTTAAATCGTGACTACCTTAAGATAGAAAAATATTCTAAATTCGAAACTACGTTGTGACATTAATTATTATAGAGGTGTTACATTCGTTTTTCTGCGATCAGAATGAGATTTCTTTGTGAGATATCTCTTACCTTATAATACGTCGTATGTTAATTCACACACAAACAAAAAATCTGGTGGAGAACTCGGAAATTTATTGGTGACATTGAAGCTTGAATTTGAATTGTAAATTATTCGTACGTGGAAAGAATAATGCAGTACGATTGCGAAATAATGGCTATTCGAACTAGTCTGCGGACACGCGACGACACGTATCCTAAAACGCGTATTCACAGAGATCGCCTTATCGCGCGCAATAATCTCTCATTGAGTTTATTTATTTGCTCGACAGCTTTTGTTTGGCATTTGGCGACAGTGGGATTACATGGTCTTCCAGTCGAACGTCATCACGAGCAAACACGATTAACGGATATAAACACAAACAATAAATTCAACCATCGTGCGACACAAAATAATTGACGAAAATATTTTGCGTGTGAAATACAGGATTTTGTAACAGGTTTCAGGGAAGCTGATGCTTCTCGTTATTCGTGTTTTATTTGTTTTTTTCTGTTATGCTAATAAGATTGCGTCCTGGAATTAAAATACAATTTTTGTAACATTCTAAAATCTTAATTTAGAGTCAATCTCACTCTAAAAAGTGAAATCTAACTCTTAAAGATTGAAAGTTGAGATGCTTTCTTTCAATGCTTTCTTTCTAAGAATCCACTCCAAAAAAATTTAAAAAGAATAATTTAGAGAGAATAAGACTTTTATAGAGAGAGTTTCTGTATAAAATAAAGATATGTGTATAATATAGCGAGTAATCGTGAAGATCTCTACGCTTCTTTCACAAGTTATTTACGCCGTATTATTTTATCTCGGACAAAAGAAGATCATACTTATCCTATATATGCTGTCACTTATTATTATCTCACTGTTTTCCGTAATGATATATAGATTGTAGTTTCCATCTACAGATTATTTGAGATATCGTCAGGGTGATTGGAAATTTTTCGCCGCGATAACAATATATAAAAATCCTTTGTACTTACATCAATAATCTTCGAATCGTTGTCTTCAACGTTAACCTGCGGCTACAAAATTTTAAGATTAGTTTAACATATTTGATTATTAAGCATTTATTTAAGATTTTTCATTTAATTTTGTTATTATATATTAACGACGACGTATTGATCGATTTATGCCCAATTTCTTCACTTCTAAATAACTTTATCTTAGAGATATTTCCCAGAATACAATGGAAATATCTCCTGGATAAAGATTAGCCGTAATTTATCTGGAAGTAATAAAATCGGGCATTATCGCATTATTAAATGAACGAGCTGATAATTGTTTCCACCAATGTACTTAGATTAACTCGGTTCAACTTACTTTTCATATCTCTAAAAACTAGGCATGAAAAAGAACGACTTGAACTCTGATTAAATTATAATTAGCGATTGATTCAAATGATACAATTTGCCTAGGGCAAGATTTCAACTATATAATTTATTGTTCTTATAAAAAAAATTAATAGATACTTTTTGCTAATAAAAGTATCACTTAATTGACAATTGAGTTAATTAACTTAATCAGCGCGATTATAATTCAACTGGCAAAATCGCTTAAAGCAAAATGTTTAACTTTGTAACAGTTCTTTGTCTAACCTTTTTCTTCATACGTTTAAACAATAAAAAATTAATAATATCATCTTTATTGAGAATAATATCGCTATTATTACCTGATTAATTACTAATAAGTTAATCCGAATTTGGTCGAAAAATCTTTCTTTAAATATAAATAGCGAATTTGTAAGTATGAGTGAGAGTGCGAGTGAGAGTGTGAGTGTGCGAGGCCGGAAGGAAAGAGAGAATGGTGGGGAAACCTGGAACAGCCGATGATTATTAGCTGACTTCAGTATGCTCGAAATTTTGGTTATATCGAATAGTGATTTATTTTTTTCGTGAATACAGATGCACGAGGCATCGTTTGCGTCTTTCCGTGACGGTATCCGTGGCAAATGAGGTCGGCACGCTCCACATAGCATGCATCTCCACTCGACAAGACACCTGAAAGCTCTCTTCGTTTAATTGGCCTACATAACCGCTCCGACAATTATGAATTTGCAAACGCTTTTTCAAGACTTCAACCCAAGGTAATTTCCGTGTTATTCAATACAACACTCGGTGACTCATTATGGGCACCTTTGTGACGACATATTAATTATTCATATAAGTATGAATATAAATACTTATACAGCTATTATATAGTATTAATTTTAAATTTCAGTAAATTTCTGGTACACACATGTTTGATGATATTTACATCTCTATTTGCTCTTCGATTGGATGGTTTCATTGAATGGAGTTATTGGTCGATATTCAGTCCGATATGGTTCTGGAAAGGCATGGTGATCCTGGGAGCGATAGTTGGAAGCTATGTCTGGTGGAGGCATCCTCACGCGAGATTAGAAGGAGATGCCTATGTACATTATAAAGCAATGCTGATTACTCTGGCGTTGCATCTGATCTTGTTGATGTTCGAGTTGTTAGTATGCGACAAATTAGAATCCGAGAGGCACTTATGGATATTGGTGTTCATACCTTTGATTTTTATCTCGATAGTATCAATTGCGGTGAGTAAATATGTCTTCAAACCGCTACTGATGATTATATCGATGAGTTCTTTCATTTTTTGATCCTTCTTATGATTTAGGTATGCATTTGGGCTGTAAAACATGATCGATCGTTTGAATTGGAACTCTTTTGTGCAGTGAATGTATTACAATTTATCTTTTTGGCTTTGAGATTAGACGGCTTTATAACATGGAGTTGGGAAGTTGTGTTTGTGCCACTGTGGGCACTTCTTTGTTTATCCTTGGTAGCTGTTTTATATGCGATAGTATTCGCCGCTGTTTTATTGAGAACGCCACAAATCAATGCCCGGCAAAGGCGGACTTCTTTGCACTCAGCGGTGGCGTATACATTTCTCGTTGTTCCCATTTTAGTATTTCAGGTATAATTAGCACATCATTTTATGTGTATGCATGTCTTATTAAGTAAATCATTATTGTCTTAATTCTCTTTTTATAGTGTTATTTGATAAAAATTATTCTGCTTTAGGTACTGCTAGCGAATAAATTAGATGGAGATATTTCAATAAATTATATAACAGTGGCAATGCCACTTCTCCTATCGCACATGACTCTTATTTTTATGTCTTTTGGTGCAAAAGGCGGAAATAGATGTAAGACTGATCTTGTAGACTATTATTTAATATTAATCTAGAACAAATCTGTCCAAAACTTAGCACTAAAACGCTCTCATTTTTCATTGAGCGAGACAAATGGAAAACAAAAAAGGATAGACATTAAAGCAGCTAATTGCTAGGTAGAACTCTAGCGTTTATTTTTTTTTTGTTTTCTATCTATCTCATTCAATGAGATATTAGAAAGGTGAAAACATTTAACTCAGGAGCTGAGTTTTGAATAGGCTTGCTCAGTTGCTCTAGGATAATGATATATTATTATTTTCTTTTAATATAATACATGTATAAGATTATTTCATTATTATTAATTTTATTTATTAGCATGTAAGAACAATGGACTTTTTGTTTAGGGTGGTTTGGTATCAGAAAAGACTTTTGTCACTTCCTGCTAGGTTTATGTCCATTGCTTCAAGAATATGGTAATATTTCTTATCAACCAAGAGACGAACGAGATCAACCACCATCTGAGCCAATGATTACAGAAAAGAGCGAAAAACTTATTAAGAAAATCGACCTAATGAAACCTGTTGTGCCTATAATCTCTATAGACATGCCTGACTGATTGGCTCAAAACAGGTATTTGTTGCAAAGATATATTTGAGAAAGATAGTATATACAGCAGTATGTAATTGATGTACATTTTGTAACGCGATGTTTAAAATTCTTCGTTCTGTTATCTTTCAGGGTTAGCTCGACTATTTTTAAATTGTTATTTTTAATGCAACTGACTTAACAGAGGCCAAATATATATTATAAAATAGTCAGGTATACTTTTTATTAAAATTTTAAATATGCATAATTGAATATTATTATATTTATTTATTAGGTGTTGGAATTAATTCGTAGCGTTTT